TTATAGCTACAAATCCTTCTTGGGCCACCCCATGCCATGCCTCTGTGGCACTGGGGGACTGTCCTGGAAATCAGAGACTTGCCTGGCCCAAAGTGCAGGTTGGCCATGCCAGGCTGTCAACTGACATCCTCTCATTTCTACTGTATTAAGTGCATAGGCATGAATAAGGAATTGGCTTTTGAGATGGGATTATAGCTAGAAATCCTTTTCAGGCCACCCCGTGGCACACCTTTATGTCACCAGGGAACTCTCCTGGACATCTGTGACCACAGACTTGCCTGGCCCAAAATGCAGTTTGGCTGTTCCAAAGTGCCAACTAACAGCACCCCAGCCACTGTGCTAAATATATAGACCAAAATAAAGAACTGGATTTTGGGCTGGGATTATAACTAGAAATCCTTTTGGGCCACCCCAGACCATGTCTCCGTGCCACCAGGGGACTCTTCTGCACATGCTGGACCAGAGACTTGCCTGACCCAAAGGGCGGTTTGGCTGTGCCAAGGTGCCAGCTAACAGCACCCCAGCCACTGTGCTAAATATATGGACCTGAATAAGGAATTGGATTTTGGTCTGGGATTATAGCTACAAATCCTTCTTGGGCCACCCCAGACCATGTCTCTGTGCCACCAGGGGATACTCCTGAACATCTCTGACCAGAGACTTGCCCAGCCCAAAGCACCCTGTGGCCATGCCAGGCTGCCAACAGAGAGCACCCCAGCCACTGCGTTAAATATATAGACCCGAATAAGGAACTGGATTTTGGGCTGGGTTTATAGCTACAAATCCTTCTTGGGCCACCCCAGACCACATCTCTGTGCCACCAGGGGATGTTCCTGGACATCTCGGACCAGAGACTTGCCCAGCCCAAAGCACCCTGTGGCCGTGCTAGGCTGCCAGCTGCCAGCACCCCAGGTGCTGTGTTAAATTTCTGAACCCAAATAAGAAACTGGATCTTGGGCTGGGATTCTAGCTACAAATTCTTCTTGGGCCACCCCACACCATATCTCTGCGCCACCGAGGGACTGTACTGTACATCTCTGACCAGAGACTTGCCCAGCCCAAAGCGCAGCTTGGAGTCTGTTCTGACACATGCTAAATATCACGCATCAGAAC